TACTATTGAGTAAAAAAACGCGAAACACCTTGCAAAATGAAACTTGAACATAAATTAGTAATCAAAAGTTCGAGAGGTTACCCCATAACTCAAGTTTAGAAAAAAATGCTCAGGACTGCTATTTACAGGTCTAGCAAAAATACAACTATTGAATTACTGAACTCACTTGAAAGAGTGGTTAAATCGGCTTGACAATAGACTAACCTATTGGAAGAAACCGTTCTTGGTCTGGTATGGGGTTGCCATGTCGATTTTCTTCATGTGTATCTCCACTACCATCTTCACGTTGAAAGCTCACTTTTAAGCCATCCTACAATGAGCTATGGTGAACAAGAATAAGTTTTTAAGGTAAGAAAACAGGCAATTGAAGGAAGATGGATGTTGAGTAAGGAACACTTACGGTACCGACGCCAAGCTCAATATCCTCGTCGATATTTTCCATGTTCTCCATGTCACGGTCATCCGCAAAATGCACCATGAATTCTTTACCTTCCCCATCGCTCATAATCACAGGAAGCTGAAATAACCCACATACTTTCGAAATAGACTGATTCTAAAACCTTAATGTTTGATGACTTCAAGAAGCGCCTCATATTAATGAAGCACGAAAGAAATTGGCGTCAAAAATCAGCTACGTCTTGAAAACTTTTAGCAAAAAAAACTGTTTTAGATAAGATCTATAATCAACTGTCAACTGCAGTCAATTTAGCATACGTCAAAATAAATTGCGGAAGGACCCATGTGACATGCCATTGCTGCAACTTATACATTTACAGAAAATTGGAAAACAACACTTTTCAGCTAATGCTCAACATTAACAAATTTCTTCCTTCTGGAAAATGCTAACCAACGACGACGATAAAAAAAATTTGATCTAAATTATTGGGAACAAAAACATGTGTATCCGACAAGGTGTTCCCTAAAGTAAAGAAAAAGAATAGAGGCGAAAAAGAAACTGTACACACTTAGAAAATAAAGCAAATTAGAAGACTGAGAGTTGAAAACAACTTCTGAATACTTTCTGTCACTTACTTGCGTAAAACCATCTCCAACAACATCGTGCGAATTCGGCACTCTCGACTCATTATTTGAAAATGTTACTGTTCGCATTTCAGCATATGAATTTCCATTATCATCAACATTCATCTAGAAACACAGCATGAACAAATTATAGATTCCGTTCCGTACTAAACATTATTATATGACCCCACACGAAAAATAGAGCAACGAAGAAAATGAACACAGAACGAGCATTATCCACACCCTCTAGACATTGAAATTAGAATGAAAACCTATTTCTGCGTAGCTCAAAACAATGTAATATTCAAGATGATTCTAACATCTACTCGAAAATAAAAAAATACAATCAGTACCGAACAAGATCCTCAGCTTAAGATAAGAAAATCTAATGGACTTCCACTTTGAACCTCACGGTTTCTACGCTGTGCACGCAAATGCTGCTGCATACTCACAAATTTAATACGTTTTACAATTTTTTTTTTTTGCAGCACGCAAGAAACTGCCGGCCTTCAAGTCACATTCTGAATCAACAACGAAAAACACTAAAAATCATGGAAGTGCAGATTGATGAAAAAAATTTAATGAAC